GGGTTAAATGCAGAGCACAAATTCCGAGTATGGGTCACCATACTTGGCCACACGTCACTTCACTTCACGAAGCCCCTGCAGCCAACTTCGACTGGACAAACCTTTGTTTTCCAGCCACGTTGCTTTGCATCAACTGCCAGCTCAGAATACTTAAGGCTCTTGCATTCATAGGCCTCCTCCACCGCATCCTCCCAGGACACAGTGAGTTCTATTATGTACACAGTACGTAGTGAAGAGGACCAAAACACAAGGTGTGGTCTAAGGTTGGTAACTGCAATTTCAGCCGGGAAGCAGAGCCTATGATTTAAGTCAACAGAGAGCTTTTAATCACAAGTTCCTGGTCAGTGTTTGGGGTCTTCACCTTGACCCCACTTGCCCCTTCTCCCACAAACTCCTTTCCCTACAGAGCGCCTAACAGAAGAGGTAGGGAGTTGATGGATGTCCGCCTGTTCTCCAGAAACGCCACAAGACACTTCAGCACCTGGTTGTGCCTCCAGGTATACCAGCCTTGCATCAGGCTTACCTTACAGCCAACCAAGATGTGTTTCAGGTTCGCTGAGGATGAGCAAAGGGGGCATGTAGGATCTTCTCCGAACCATTGGTTAAGGTTCACTGGTGAAGGCAGGACATCATAAGTGGCTCATAAAAGCTGATTTGGAATGCTTCCATGCCCCACAGCTCCTTCCAAGAGAGTTTAGGCCTCTCCACTCCTTCCCATCTCATCCACTGCCCTTGCTTTACCTGTGAGATTGCTTTTGCACATCTCGTTGCTTGCTCTTGCTGGCGCACCTCCTCAACCACCAATTTTCTATGCTGAAGTGGGGTTGCCTTGTGCCAGAGTGGTCTACTCTATCCAAGTCCAAAACCTCCTCTCCCTTGTTGTACATGCCTCAGAGCTGACTTAGCCTGTTGTACTGCTGACCCTGGAGTCCACGCCCTTCCAGTTTTAAGGGTCGGAGCTACTTGAGCAACACATGGGTCTTGGGATTCCAGCAGCATTGCGTCATTTCCAGCCTTACTTTTGAGCACTTGTGCTCCTCTACCAGGCTGAACACTGGAAGCTCCTGGACACCTTTTCCATACAGCCCTATGCTTATACATCTAGGTTTAAATTTGTTTGATGATCTGAAACATTAAAGTGTGACAAACATGCAAAAAAATAAGAAATCAGGAAGGGGGCCAATACTTTTTCACACCACTGTATATGTGTGTATTCTTTTACATTTTAACAATTATATTTATTTATTTTTCCAGATTTCTTGCATTCGGTTATTCCAAAATGTGATAATTTGCCTTTAAGAACTACTGCTTACATTTTGCTTCTTGTGAGGTCTGTCGTAAACACTGTGGTGTTTAAATGGTCTTTTAACTAGTCTCTCTCATAGCCTCAGCACTGGGGTCTCAGTAACGACATGGATGGCTGCAGACCATGTGACTGTGATCATGGTGGTGCAATCAACAACAAGTGAGTAATACTACTGAAGTAATACTACTAATACTGGCTGAAGTTCCTGAATCTCTCATTCAAATACATTTTATCACTATTATTATTACTACTATTTTTAGTATTTTATAATAATTTACTATTATTATTAGTTCAGGTTTTAGTAATTTTTCTATATGCTTTTGTCATTTTTATTAGTTTTTCTTTTTTTGTAATTAATATTTTTGTATAGCTTTAATTTATTTTTATTTCGGTTTAAGTTTTAATAATTTTAGCACTTCAATTTTAACTCATTTATTTCAATTAGGTGCCAAGGCAACATTTAAATTTTTCTGTTTTATTTAAGTTTTTCATCTTATATTCGTAGTAAAAACTTCCTATGCCATAATACTTCAAATGCATTAGCATGTTTACTGACATATTGCTTAAGACTTACTAATATAAAATTATTAGTGCTGTCAAGCGATTAATCGCATCCAAAATAAAAGTTTTTGTTTATATAATATCTGTGTGTATACTGTGTATATTTATTATGTATATATAAATACAAACATGCAGTATAAATATAAGAAAAATATGTTATGTTTATATATTAAATATATTTATATATAATATAAAATATAAGTAAATGAATATATAAATGTATAAACGTAAATATTTTCGAAATATATACTGTATGTGTGTGTATTTATATATACATAATAAATATACACAGTACACATACACAGTAAACAAAAACTTTCATTTTGGATGCGATTAATCGTGATTAATCGTTATTAATTGTTTGACAGCACTAAAAATTATATTTAAACTTTATTTGGTAAATAAAGTTGACTTTACCCTGAGGAAATTAACTTATGCCGCTTTCTGAGGAGAGCTGTGCTATTACTTTCCTTTGTGATCAAACTTAGATTTTCGACAACAAAATGGATTAAAAAACATACATTTTCTTCAGAATTTGTAAAAATCTACTTGCTACTCCTACTGCCCTCTTTTCTTAGTAAGTTGAATCAGTGTGTTGAGAAACTACTGGCAGGAAGCCTGAAATAACAGTGAAAATAGTCTGTATCATCCAATAAGAAAACTGTATTTACCTGAGTTACAAAGGCAGGCTTTAACTGCAGTCCAACAAACAGATGGGTGCCATTTCTCACAGGTTTTGAGTCTTGACTGTTTGTGTCAGCATGAAATATGTCCTCCAGAGCTATTTTCCTCCAGATCTTTAGGAAGAACCATCTAACTTTCCTGATGTTATTTCTTTTCCCAGTTGCTCTGCAGAAACGGGTCAGTGTCAGTGTCGCGAGCACATGTTTGGCAGACGCTGCGACCAGGTGGAATCTGGTTTTTACTTCATCGCTCTGGACCACTACACTTATGAAGCTGAGGACGCCAAGTTTGGACCTGTAAGTGTCCTCATTATTGCCATCTGTCGGAGTCTTTGAGTATTTGAATGATGTATCTCTATCGGTAGGGTGTGACGGTTGTCCCGAGACCCCAGCCTCAGGACAGATCCCCTACTTGGACTGGCATTGGCTTTGTGAACGTTCCTGAAGGTGCCTATCTTGAGTTCAGCATCGACAACATCCCCTACTCTATGGAGTATGACATTATCATCCGATATGAGCCTCAGGTGACTTCCTCTACAGTATAATACTAGCATTGACATTTGACTAGAACAGCTTAGTAATGAGTAAAGACATGTTTGATCAGCCTTGAGTTAAAGGGTAAGCAGATACATTATTACATCATCTGCTTGCTCTTTCATGGTGTGTAGCTGCCAGAGCAGTGGGAGGAAGTGTTGATGACTGTCATCAGGCCTCGCGTCATTACCGCCGACAGCCGCTGTGCAAACACAATGCCTGACGATGACAACCAGGTGGTGTCTCTGCATCCCGGATCCAGGTATGAGATCAGAAAGATGGACCACCTGATGCACATTACCTTTCATCCAATAATAACTAGGCAGTATTTTAAGTCATCATGCTGTAGATGTAGTCCTTATGCAAAGACTAAAATAAACTAAAACGATTAAAAACAATTGAAATGAAGCTGAAATAAAATAAAACGTAAGTATTAGATGAAAAACTAAACAAACATTTGAAATGTTGATTAGGCTACTAACTGAACTAAGTTGAAGCGCTAAGATTTCTAACTAAATAAATGAAAACTAAAACTTAACTTAAATAAAAACTGAAATAAAAATCAATTATCCCCAAAACAAATAAATACCGGTAAGTAAAAACAATAAAAGTACATAACTGAATTACTAAAAATGTAACTCAAATCAAAAATGTATAAAAACTACAATAGTATATAAATAATGCTTTTTTATCACTATTTTTTACAGTCTATAGGGTTCAGGATTTGACCAACCCAAGTCATTATTTATATACTACTGTAGTATTTTTTTTATATTTAGAATTATCTTTTACTTTTATATATTCAGTTTTCATTTCAATTTTAGTGTAGGTTTTGCTAATTTTGTTGTTTTGTCGTTTTTATTCGTTTTTATTTCAGTTTTATTTCAATTCAGTTTTAGTAATCCAGCTTAAACATATTTATTTCAGTTAGTTTCCAAAGCAACATTTCTAGTTTATATTTCAAGTTTTTCATTAAATATTTATATAATATTTAAATACAAATAAAGTCATACAAAATGACAAAAGTACATAACAAACTTACTAAAAATTGATCTCGCATTAAAAAGCTAATTCAAAATATTAATAAAAGCTACAATAGTATATAAATAATACTAAAACAACACTAGATGTGTCACGGGTGCACTGCTGAGCGGACTGAGGAGCAAGGAACGGAGAGAGACGAGGAGTACATTAATCCAAATGGGTTTAATTAACACAAAGGAACACTCACGCTATACATGACATGAACATAGACATACAATCCCGGACGCTGGAGCACACACAGGGAACACTATTTATACACATGACAGGATGAGGAGAGGACGAGACACACCTGGGATCAATAGACATAAAATGGGGAACACCTGGAATCAAATAAACCTAATCAGGACAGGAACAGGAAACTAACCAAATATGGGCGTAGGAAGGCACATGAGGAAAACAACCACAAAACACGGAACAGAGTCTGACATAACGCCCCCTCCGGAAGGCGTGTCCTCACGCCATATAACATCCAATGGGGAGGGGGGGTTGGGCACTCTGGAGGTCCCTCAGGACAGACACAGGACAGTGGGCACTGCTGAGTGGACTGAGGAGCAAGGAACGCAGAGAGACGAGGAGTACATTAATCCAAATGGGTTTAATTAACACAAAGGAACACTCACGCTATACATGACATGAACATAGACAAACAGTACCGGACGCTGGAGCACACACAGGGAACACTATTTATACACATGACAGGATGAGGAGAGGACGAGACACACCTGGGATCAATAGACATAAAATGGGGAACACCTGGAATCAAATAAACCTAATCAGGACAGGAACAGGAAACTAACCAAATATGGGCGTAGGAAGGCACATGAGGAAAACAACCACAAAACACAGAACAGAGTCTGACAAGATGGTAGTGAACAACATTTTGCTCATTTTGACCAAATTCTAAGGAAGAGAACGTAATCCCAGAATGTACTGCAATAAATCCAGAGAGGTGTTCATTATAGATATATTTATTGCATTCAAAGCTTAAAAGTAACCATAAACAGTAATTCAATCTAATAAAAACCCAAGATTTTTGTGCCTATTGCATTTTATTCTTATTAGAGTATCAAGCTCTTAGCTTAGCAACATGCTAACGTAAAACCCCATTGAAGTCAATTGCAAGGTGAGTCTATTTGTATGAGTTCCTGTCAATGCATAGCATTCAAAATCAGTTATTTTGATGTGTCACTTCAGTTAGGATGCTGCCTAGTTAGGTTTTTAGTCAGATGCACTCACATCAGCAAAATTTAGGTGAAAATTTGCAGCCAAGAAAAAGACCCTTTTCACCCTCATGCAAAATATTAGAATGCGCCAAATTCTATTGAAAGGACTTGATTCTGACCACAAAAATGTGCTGAACTGCAGAAAATGTGACTGCACCTTTAGACGGCTGTTCACTAGGTTTCATTAAGCTGATGTCTTTGAGTGTTAAATCTGAGAAAATTAATTCTCTTGGTTTTGCCCATCAGGTATGTGGTGCTGTCTAGGCCTGTGTGTTTTGAAGAGGGCTTGAACTACACCGTGCGCTTGAGTCTGTCTCGCTACTCGGCTCTCAGCGATGTGCAGTCACCATACACGCTCATCGACTCGGTAGGCTCCCTCTTTTACCTTGTCAGATAGACAATATCAGTTGCACTGGAATCTTCAAATGCTGAATGACCGATTTCTATTCTTGCTCTCAGATCGTCGTCATGCCACACTGCAAAAACCTGGATATTTTCTCTGGCTCTGGGTCAGAGGGTGGAGACATGGTGACCAACAGTGCCTGGGAAACCTTCCAGCGCTACCGCTGTTTGGAGAACAGCCAAGCAGTGGTGAAAACCCCCATGACTGATATCTGCAGGAATTACATCTTCAGTGTGTCGGCTTTTCTGCACCAGGGAGTTAAAGGTACATCCATAACTTCATAATAAATTACCCACCTTAAATTGAACTAATAATATTTGTGATGATATGTGTTAAATGCTGTTCTTAGTCTTTCCTTCCTATGACGGGGAAGCCCAGACAAATACTACATGATTGTATGTTGAATTAAATTTCAGAAACAGTTTATTGTGCAATCAAAATACACATATCAATCAGGCAAAAAAAAAACAAAAAAATAAACGTTATGCATAATGTGGGACTTTTAATTATAAACAAGCCTGAAATACACCAGGACTCTTATTTTGAAATGCACATACTTTACAATTACCGACTGCTCATTCAAAAAATTGCAGATAAAATATTCATTCATTCCATGTTGGCAAAATGAGTCAGAATGCACATGGGCTACTTTTGAGTTACAGGCAAAAAAAAGTGGTCGAATTTTAAGATTTCACAAAAATTTGTTCATTAAAGGGATAGTTCACCCAAAAATGAAATTATAATGGAAGTGAATGGGAATCACGGCTTTGATAGTCAAAAAAACATACACAAACAAAACCAAATTAAACCCTGCGGCTCGTGACGATACATTGATGTGTAAAGACACGAAATGATTGGTCTGTGCAAGAAACTGAACAGTATTTATATCGTTTTTTACCTCTGATTTACTGTAATGTCCGAACTGTCCTGAGCGCATTCGCGTCTTCTTCTTCATCCGGCGCGTGACGTGTCTTCTTCTTCTTCTTCTTCTTGCTTTACGGCAGATCGTAGACTTATAAGTGCATTACCGCCACCTATCTCTCAAATGGACTATTGACACTCCTGATTGAGATTGTAGATAGTGTCAATGGTCCATTTGAGAGATAGGTGGCGGTAATGCACTTATAAGTCTGCGATCTGCCATAAAGCAAGAAGAAGACGCGTCACGCTCCGGCTGAAGAAGAAGATGCGAACGCGTTCAGGATGCGCTCAGGACAGTTTGGACATTGCATTAAAAAATTAGATGTGTAACATTATATTAGATCCGTGCATTACACTATGTCTTAATAATATAGGCCATCTGTCTCATTAATGTTAATCTAACAACAACAAAAATAGAGGGAATCACTCGCTGTTATTGATTGAACTGCTTTTGTAGTTTTAATAATCCATTTATTTGTAATGAACACACTAAATTGATTTTTACATTTGATTATTTGATTTTTCTTACTCAAATTATTTTGTTGAGATGTAAAATGAAAAAAGTAATACACTATACACTTGTTTCTTTCTTATATTTGTTCTTTTTTGCATCTGTTCTTGTTTATAACAACACAGATAAAATAAAAAAAATAGCTATATTATCAGTGTCTACTTACGTCACGATTAGTACCAGTTGTGCTGGTTAGATCCTGCTCCGGAGTAGGAGCTAATTTGGTTCTCGAAAAAGGCAGTCCGGTACTAAAATCGCTCCCAGTTCCGGCTGTGCGAAAACGCGAAAAAGTGGTAGTTCCACAATTAGTTCTGGTACTATGAAAAGGTTCCTGCGGTGCGAAAGGCCCTATTGTATTAATCGGTCAAAATTCTATACGGTCGGTTAACGGTTAACCGGTTAATATGAGCATCCCTACTTACAACCATCTACAACATATTACTGTATAAACACCATAAAGTAAACATTGTCAAAATGCACCAACAGTAGATTTTAAGAAATCTTTTGGCATAAATGCACATCAATTTTTAGTTGCAAATGCAAGTGTAATGCCCACACTATACTTTTAAGAATTATTAGTTATTTTTTAAATTCTAGTTATAATATCACAAATGGCATTCTAACTTGATCTTTATGATCTTACCACTTTGTTTAAAGTGCACACACATACAGATTCTCAGCCTGTCATCATCGCATGACTTTGGCTCCATTCTCTAACCACATAAGAATCCCCTTTTCCCTTTATGATAGACGTGCCAGTCTTCATTCTGTCATCGTTCATTCAGCTTTCATTTTCCTCTGTCTGATGTCTCTCATCAGAGATGCTTTCCTGCCTCGTGTCAGAGCTTGTAACAAGGCCTCAGGCATAATTATACTGCTTTACATGCTTCCTGTCTGAGACTTTACAATTTCATCAACTGTCAGGACAAGAAGAAAAGCAAAAGACATGGCTAGAGGCGTAAATCAGAACGCAAGCTTTGCTGACTATAAATATCAGTGTGAAAATGACGACTTTCACATGAAGAAATCAAACACAGCATAACACACTACTACTGAAAAGACATCTTCAAGTCATACTTTAAGAAACTGTAACATGTCAAGCTTTATATGATACAGAATGTAAAAATACAGTCAAACTCCCTTCTGGGAAAAGTAAGCCACATTTCAAGGCTACACTTTAATAAGTAGCAAACAACATTGAAGCTATGTGAGGAGGCAGTCTTTTAAAATATGTAACTTTTAAATATCTAACAATTATATCTGATGATACAATTTTAACAGAGCAGTATAATGGCACAAAATTAACAATAGTATTTTAATCAAGTGTCTTAAGTATGGTGACACTATTAAACTTATTCTAACTAATAAAACTAGAAACACTCTAATTAAAGTAAGTTAAAATCAAAGTGATGAACAGATGCATTTGGCTTTAAAAAGACTAGTTTCATGATCCTTCTTCATCTTGGTAATCACAGGTATTAGAGTATTAAAACGGATGTTTTAATTGTCCTTGATTTTATTTTTAGTGGGAAAAAAATGGTGTTACAGTTGGTGAGATCAATTTATTCAGTCTGTTTAACTGTCCATTTCAATAAATCATTTGTGTCATTATTTAAAAGTGTGGAATTCTTCATATTTACATTTTTTTAGTAAATAAATATTATAAATAAATGTTTTTGTTATGCATTGATATTGTGCTGTAGAAATGAAAATAATTGAATATTCATCCATCAGTTCATTTAGTGAAAAACTAAATTTATTTGTATTTATTTTTAAATAAAAAAAATAAAAAAAATATTTGTATTTTTATTTATTAAAAATTATTTTTTACTTAAAACATTTAATCTGCAAAAATGGTTGTTTGGTCAAAAATTGTTTCTCTGATTTGTAAAAAATTAAGCTGTTTCAAAGCATAAAAGATCATAAAGCATTAAATATTTTCAATTTTACCTATACAATCTGACATTTTAGGAAAGGATATTTGTACCTCAATTTGCTCGGCTGTAAAGCTCCATGCACAATATGATGTGGCATAAAAGCCAGCGACCTGCTACATTTTGGAAAGCATAGCTAGTAACTAAAGTAACACTATTTTGAAAAGGTTTGTGGTGTTGCTACTTTAGTTTCTCCTCAGCACTGCTTTAGCGATCCACTAGGACTGATATGACTTGCCAAGTCACTAAGCAAGCATTTTTACGCAGGTGGTTTGAACTCAGAGCCACTGAGGTGTCGAGTTGAACTCCGGTGAATTACCTCAGTGTGATTTATAAGCTGTGCACATCCACCAGAGAGGCTTTTTTGGGTTTGAGCCCATGCTAAACTGTATGCAAGCTCTAACCTGTTAATACTGATATTACAATTTTGTTAGCCAATAGGTATTTTTACAGCCATTAACTAATATAATGGATGATATACATGAATGTATAAGAGATCAACCGATATTGTTTTTATAACCGATAAAACTTTAGTTTTTAACTACAGTTTGATATGAGGTTTTAGGTGTTGTTTATTTGGTTAAAAGAGTGTACTGGAATAGTTATACATTGTCAGGAAAGTAACAAACAAAACGGTAAATAAGATTACAGTAGTTCATTTTGAGTGGCATGTTGTCAGAATTATTATTTATATGTTTGTCGGCCTAGATTATGAAATACCTGCTGATCAACACTCTCATTGTCATCCCGATTTTTTTTGAAACATGATTATTGTGTAATAATGTTATTTTGCATGAAGAATTTATTTGCGCTTACAAAAAACTTGACACTCAAACTGCATTGTTTGTGGAGATAGCAAATTAATTTCCACAGAGTATTTAGATGACTATTAATAGTGCAATAAATAGTAAACGTTAATATAATAGCCGATATAGGGGTGGACGATATGACCAAAATCTTATATCATGAACTCGCACACAAAAAAACCCTTCACGGCATTGTCATTCTCTGTGCTTTAAATATTTTAATAGTCCGATCTGTGACTCAAAAAAACACAATATAATACGCTGAACCACTATATAATGCTATTATAATACTATACAATAGCCTAATATATATATATATATATATATATATATATATATATATATATATATATATATCCCCCCAAACGTAACCGGTTCGTGGTGTAAAAAAGTTTGGAGACCCCTGGTATAAAGCAATCAAATGTATAAAACACTACATATTCTTCACTGTATAAATTATATATTTTTTCTATTAAAGTTGCAAAAGTGATTTAGTCAAGAGCAGTGAGAGATTTTCTCTTTTGTTGTTTGATTAATATGAATGACAGACATCATGAATATTAGACTGCTGTCACTTTAAGAGCTGCCCGGATCCAACATACTGTTACACATGTGTTTTCTTTCTCAGCTGCTTGCTTTCACTTAAGACCTAAATTACTGTGTTTACAAGGATACTTGCAAAGACGGGCATTTTGACATGTATTTATTCGTTCAGGGCCTATAAAGCGGCAAAAATAACTCAGTTCGATACTCCCCGCGTTCAATACACATGCACGAGCCTCTCAGACAGCGCTCAGAAACAGTCTCTCAGATAGATCAAGCATACAGCAAAATGAGTTCTCTTTCGCTGCTGATTGCGTTTCAATGGCATAAAATCACTTGCAATGTTTAAAAACGAGTACAAACGATACGTTTTCATGACCACGGAAACTTGGTTAATCGTGTCTACTGGTATATCGCCCACCCTAAGCCGATATTACACAACCGATATTCAGATAAGGAAAAATCCTTAAATCTTGTAAAAAATATTGGTTGATCTCTAGAATGTAGAGAAAAGAGGGATAGCTGTGTGAAAAACAATTGAATTTGGTAAAAAAAAAAAAAAAAGCCCAACCAGATCAATCCTGACAGTAAAAAAAAAACACTAATATTGGTCACGTTTATTTAGGGTGAATTTAGGTAAATTGTAGCACTTTTGCCATTGAAATGACTGAGAAAAAATGCCCCAGTTACCTTGAATTAACCCTATATTTCTTTTTTTTCTCTTCTGTTTCTCTCAGCCTGTCAGTGTGACCCGCAGGGGTCTCTCAGCACGGTTTGTGACCCGAGTGGTGGCCAGTGCCAGTGTCGGCGCAACGTGGTTGGCAGGAACTGCGACAAATGCGCCCCAGCGACCTTCCTTTTTGGGCCGCAAGGCTGCAGGCGTAAGTGCAACTTGTCAATAGCATAGACTGCACCATGTATTTCCTTCACAAGCATAATTGTGGTCTGTTGTTGGTTTAGCATGTGATTGCAGTCCTGAGGGGTCTGTCCACTCCTTCTGCCACGAGGCCAGCGGTCAGTGCGAGTGTATTCCCGGAGCGTATGGGCGGCAGTGCGACCGCTGTCTGCCGGGATACTGGGGATTCCCTAACTGTCGCCCCTGCACTTGCAATGGCCACGCTGAGCAGTGCGACCTGCTCACGGGACAGTGTCTGTCCTGCAGGGACCACACCACTGGACACCACTGCGAGAGGTTAGTCACTGTGTTCTTTCTTCAACATTATAGGTTGATGTTTACATGAAAGTATAGCCTTTCATTTATGAAATCTCTTCTGCAGGTGTTTGAATGGCTACTATGGTGACCCCGTCCTGGGCTCTGGAGACCACTGCCGCCCCTGCATGTGTCCGGACGGTCCCGGCAGCGGAAGACAGTTCTCCGGCGCGTGTTATAAGAGCCTCGACTCCAACCAGGTGTTCTGCGTCTGCAACCAGGGATATAAAGGTAACCAGCAGACATCATATTTGATTTATAAGAGCATCTGTCAGGAACACCGTAAATTTCCTGTATCATGACACACGCTAGAACTTGTCATATAGTTTACTGTACCATTCAAAAGATTGGAAATTTTTATGATTTATGTTTTTGAAAGAAGTCTCTTCTGCTCACCAGGGCTACATTTATTTGATAAAAAATACAGTAAAAACAGTAATATTGTGAAATATTATTAAAATTTTAAAGAACTGTTTTCTATTTTAATATATTTTAAATGTAATTTATTCCTGATGTGATCAAAGCTGAATTTTCAGCATCATTACTCCAGTCTTCAGTGTCACACGATTCTTCAGAAATCATTCTAATATGCTGATTTGATGCTCAAGAAACATTTCTGATTATTATTATCAATGTTGAAAACAGTTGTGCTGCTTCATATTTCTGTGTAAACTGATAAATTGTTTAGGGCCATTTATTTTGATGAATAAAAGCACAGTATTTATTTAAAATAGAAATCTTTTTTAACAAAATAAATAAATGTCTTTACTGTCACTTTTGATAAATTTAATGTATTTTGTATCAAATAAATGAAGCCTTGGTGAGTATAAGAGACTTGTTTCAAAAAACCTTTAGTGAACGATAGTGTATGTGGAAGAATATGGTGATATTTTGTCTTGTAATATGTAATTTCGTAGCAGTGAGAGCTGTAATTTAACACACCTCTTGTCTGGTGTCACCCATAGGTGCCAGGTGTGAAGAATGCGCCCCTGGTTATTACGGAAACCCACATGAGGTGGGCGGAGAATGCCGGTCCTGTCAGTGCAACAACAACATCGACATGACGGACCCGGAGTCCTGTGACGCCCGATTGGGCGCTTGTCTCAAATGCCTGTACCACACCGAGGGCGAGAGCTGCAACCGCTGCAAGCTCGGTTATCACGGCAATGCACTGACCCAGAGCTGCAGAAGTAAGTTCTTGAAGAAATGTTTAATTGTTTCAATACTGTGTTTACAAAAATATCTTGACGACTATTAGTTATTTTTTAATAAAGCATAAAAATAAGTGTTTTTGCAAAATTTGTGTGTGTGTATATATATATATATATATATATATATATATAAAATGATTTTTATATAATAGTATTATTATATAACAGCTTATGTAGTCTTGGTTATGACAGTAGTCCGAAAACTATTATTTTATTATTATTATTTATTATTTATGATTTTAATTTCATTTTAAAAGGTAAATCTTGAATTTAAATGATCACTGCTGAACATTGAATAAACCCAGATAATGCAACTAAGCTCATCTTGCTGCCATTGCAAACACTGCAGATTTGTGCTGCCATTACCCCAAACCATAAAATCTGTAGGCAACCCAGTTTTGTAGGAATGTCTAGCAGAATGGAGAAGTCCTCGGCCCACTCTCTGATTCGCCCCAGATGTGCACGACCATGACGAGCTCGTGGGGGGATCTGTCCAAGCCTCGCAATATCCTCTCTACTCCCACAATGCACCTTTGTATTCGTGGGCTTCCCCTTATGGGGCCATTAGTGTCTGCCGCAGTGCTTCTCCTCAGAAAAGAGGCTTTGTCCTCTCTCTGACTGTATTTGCGGCTGTGCAGACCATAACTTTGGAAGTCTATTTGAACTCGATGAAGAATTTTCTGGTGCTTCTGAGATCTTGAACACAAGGGAAGTGCAGATTCTGATGGTATTCTGAGCATCGACTATCTACAGATCTCCTTCAAGCTCATTGTGACGCATTGTTTTGTTAGACCTTCACCACAATCTCAGCCCAATTAACAGCTCATTATCAAGGGTGATGCATGTAAAATATGACCCAGCATCAGCATTACCATCACTTTACAAGTTGGTGAAAGAGATTTCCAGTAAGTAACATTTCAGTCTGTTCACACAAAGTGATATAAACAACTTTTATGGTACATTATTGAAATGACATGGAGGTAATCAAATGCAGAATTTTTTTTTGCACAAACTATTCCTTTAATAAGCCATTTGGTCTTAAGCAGAGCAGGTTTTGGACTCTCTTTGAGCCGATAAAGTGGTGTGCTGACAGAGATCTGTTCCACCCCCACACCCCTCTGTTTGTTTGGAGAGTCCTGATGGAGCAGGAAGCCCCCCGTGTTCCTCTAAGATCTAGTTACCCCTCTATAACCCTCCTGTTGACTCGCCCTCAGTATGCTCTTCCCTCTTCCAGCACAGCACTGAGCATTTGTTCAGCTTGAGCTGTGCTTTATGTGGTTTCCTGTTAAATACTAGTTCGATAACCTTGTGAACTCCCAAGCTTTATGTTTTGTTTAACCACAACTGATTTCCTCAGAGATTTTATAGGTTGTACTTTAACTTTTTGTATAATTAGTACAACTTTTGTGTGCCTAGAGGCGTCGTCTGATCTGAATTCTGATCAATTATGGTGCTACATTTACATTGGTTAATTTAGCAGACAGTTTTATCCAAAGGGACTTACAATTGAGGAATCTTGAATTTATATAATTTATATCTTGAAGCCTAAAAGTTAATTAAAAGTTCATGCTCTATTAGCCAAACAGTAAAACAAATTTGGTAAAATGTTCCTTAAACTCTAAAAGCCCTTGTGAAAGGAATGATAGCCAGACATAGTTGTGTTCAAAAAGTGACGTTTCCTCCCATGCATTTTTGCAATAACCTTATCTGCATGGTGATGAAAAACAGATGGAAAGGATACATATATTCAGGGGTGCACATAAGTTTTTCAGTCTGGATCTCATGAGAGCACCTAGAGATTTGATTTGGTGCTGACACTGCACATAGTGTGACCTGTTAAATATAACTATAAAAAATAAAAGAATTAATAATAGTAAAAATAATGTAATTGTGCTTTATTTAATTAGGTTATTTTAAAAAATCAAAATAAACAAAATAATAAATAAAGTGTGATAATATTATATTATTTAAAAAAAAAAAGAGTATTCAATAAAAATAGAATTATTTTATAGTGCACTTAAAAATACAATGCTAATATTTACATTTTCATTTTTTTCTTTTAGACTCTTTTCTTTGTTATATGAATTCTTAAACCTAAAACCAGAAAGCTTTTATTTTGGCGAGTTGCCGGCAAGTAAGTATATGCACTGCCGGTTGTAGCGCTGCCGACTGAAGCGCGTAAGTGAACGAAATGTTACAGTTTCACGTTTTGCGCCAAAACCAGCAATGCGAAGCTTAGATTTACGCTTTCTGTTTGAATGGAAATCTTATACAGTATTACAGTTAGTCAATCAAAAACAGTGCTTGTGCATTAACAGCCGTCAACCATGTCGGTGCGCAAATCAGCAGTTTGAACTTATTTACCTCGTGCATTTTTTATTTTAGTCGTGCATGCACACCTGTGCACCACTTACGTGCACCCCTGCATATTTTCCTGTATCAGACAGCCATGTAAAACATATATTTGTAAATGAAAACCTACTTTAGAAAGTTAGATTCGAAGTTACTGCAGATTTTTAGTTGGTTTGAGACTAAATTTATTTATAGAAATTGGATGTTGGGCATGCCGCGGCAGCTGCCCTCATGGCTGGTTACTGTTTACACAGATCTGGCAAATATATCACCAACCCAGAAGTTGGTGCATTTTTTAAGGCATAATTTCCAAGAGCTTGTTAACACCGTCATGAATGTTTAACAGCAGTAAAATGGACTTTGTTATTACAGAAGTACCTCTCGAGTGGTTTAGTCTGGGAGACTGTGGTTTTCCTTCTCAGCTGGCGTGTGATATGTTTTACATCCCCATGCCCTTAGCCATATACGTCTATGTAAACGATTGCTGAGTACACAAACACACTGCATTGCATTTAATCTTGTTTATTTTAGGCCTGCTTTTCAAAGGTTCATGCAATTCTCAAGGCGGCTTTTAAACAATAAAATGCAGATGTGTTCCTCGGGCAGTAAAAGCCTATCCTAGAATTGTTGTGTCAGTCGCTACTAAATACTTCCCATCACCAACACAAAAGCTCCTGCGCCTGTTACCGTCTCCAGGGGTCACATTCACGGCATTGTCCCGACAAGAAACACCCCCGGTGCCGCCTGAGGCCCCCTGGATAATAGCAGGGATTAACCTCCGAGATAATTCCCTATCTCTAGTACCTTGTATGCGTTAGTGGCCTTAGGTGAAGGAGTCTTTTCCTGTGGAATGTGTGTTTAATCACGTCACACTGGAATGTGTTTTAAGTAAACGAACCGTTCCAGACAGGCTCCCCTTTCACGTATTGTATGTGTCACATATATTGTCCTGAATTCTCCTCGGGGGTCAAAAAAGTGCTGGTCTCTGGTTACCTGTTTACCTTTAAAAACATGCGCTCTGTTAAAAATCCTAGTGAGCTACCAACCTACCTAGGCAGCATCATTTTCCTGCCCTCTAATGCCAAATTTACAATACAAAGTTGGCACAGAAGCACTTCTGATCTGGCATTCATGTGTCTTTACACAGACTGCATAATGCTGCTCAGAGGTGGCATGAATGCATTTACACTGCAAATTTGATACGAGGGGATGTGGTGGGTCAGAGCAGGCATAAAATCTGGCTTTTATACAGCATTATGTCTTTACAGAGAAATTTAAGCAGGGATAGAGCAGCCTTAACATGCAAGCTGTGTAAAGATGTCTTAAGATAGTTTGTTTTGGCCAAATTTTTAAGCATTGTTCAATGAAGAAGACTCCATGATGTGAGTTTTGTCTGATTTTGTATTTACGAATTGAATGAATGCCACCACAAAGTCGTAATTATGAATGGGAAACCTTGCGAATGCAAAGTTTGTTTTGAGCCCAGAGTTAATTTAAACGCACCTGACGTCATAATTTCCAACTCATAAATGCTAACTTTTCAGTAGGGCTTGAACGCACCATCAGAATGATTTGTGCCATGATTTGTGCTGATATTTCACTCAGTGCTGAAAAGTATTGATAAAAGTTAGATCAATCTAATTAAAATGAACTATTTCACACAATATTTGTGAGTTCTATGAATTTTTATGCTTATTAGAGTAGTACATTGTTAGCGTAGCAGCATGCTAATGCAAAACTCTATTGGAATCAACTGCATGTTGTATGAGGAGCACTATTGTTGTGGTTAACAGAATTGCTGCCTGTGTAGAGCATTCAAAATCAGTCACTTAAGCTACACATTTAAATAGGATGAAGGTATCTTTGTTGCAGTAGGCTGCTTGCTGTTAACTAGGTTTTGGAATAGTGCTAAACATGTTAAAAATTGAATATGAGAAATAGATTCTTTGACTGGTGAAAATGGCCTTGATGAAGGTTAACAAGGCCGTTACAACTAGAATTTTCTGTGGATGAGTATGTTTGTTTAAGGGCCTCATGTTAAGTCATTCCTGGCATGGTGTTTGCTAAGTGTCTCGTCTGTCATTGTGGGGCAGTTATTGCCTTTTGTTCACCAAACACTCGCAGTGCAGTGCAGCACTAAAGTGCGCAAACAATCTTTTCCTTCGTCCTTCCACTCCCACCACCTCCCCGACTCCATCGCTCACTCTTTCAGCTCCAGCCTAATAAGGTCACAGTAACTCAAAGTTTGCACTTGTTGACAGAAAATGCCACAGTCAATGAACGGTTGTCTTAAACATCTCGGTTCATTTCTTTTAGCCCTTCAAATGTTATTTTTCTAAAATCGGTGTCTTTCTGTAGAAATGTGGCCAAGCAATCTACCCAACAAATTATAGTAAATATAATAACTGAATCACCATTTTGCCAATGCTTTTATGCAAAACACGGCACAAAATTATTGAATTCTAAGTTAAAAACGTTGTAATTTCAATGTTTTATTTTTTTACTTCTATTATAAATGCAAAAAATTCTACAAATTTATAAATTCATTGTTAATGATTTATTATTATTATTATTATTATTATTAATTCTTATAAATGAAAAAAATACTATTTACCCAATAATTTTGTGTATTTTATGCTTTTAGTAGACCTTTGTTAACTCAACAACGTTTAACTTTAAGTTATTTTAGTGTTATTTCTACATTATTACATATTTTATCAATATTTTTGATGTGCTTTTCTTTTATTTTTTGTCAGTTAATTTTAATTTAATTCAGTTTAATTTTAGTAATTTGGTTATGTGATTTTAGTTTTTTTCTTTGTTTTTTTTAATATTAACATTTATTTTTACGTTTTAGCTTCAGTGCTATTTTATTTTTCATTTATTTCCGGTCAGTAATTTTAATGATTCAAATGAAACTTATTTCAGTTAGTTGCCAAGTTTAAAGGATTAGTTCAGTCAAAAATGAAAATTAAGCTGTGTTTTACTCACCCTCAAGGCATCCTAGGTGTATATGACTTTCTTCTTTCAGACAAATCCAGTCGGAGTTATATTAAAATTTGTCTTTGATCTTTCAAGCTCTATCGTTGTACTCAGCGGGTGTTGCATTCCTTCGGTTCAAAAGACGTGAAATAAAAAGCACCCTTCCACACAAAAAAGTGTCTCACACGGCTCCGGGAGGGACAAATTTTAATATAACTCCGACTGGATTCGTCTGAAAGAAGAAAGTCATATACACCTAGGATGCCTTGAGGGTGAGTAAAACGCAGCTTAATTTTCATTTTTGACTGAACTAACCCTTTAAGGGTTTTTTAAAATATCTTGATTTCAGCTTCATTTTGGTTAACAGAAATATTCTTAATAGTTTTAGTTAATGATAAGCCTGCGTTAAACTTCAGGTCCCTGTACTTAAACCTCAGTATTCCTCTATATTTTCAGCATGTGATTGTGACCCAAGAGGCATCGCGGAGCAGCAGTGCAACAAGGTCACAGGTCACTGCGTTTGCGTGGAAGGTGTTTCCGGGCCTCGATGTGACACATGCGCTCGAGGCTACACGGGCGAGTTCCCACACTGCGAGCGCTGCCACCAGTGCTTCGCCGAATGGGATGTAATTGTGGGCGACCTCACCAACCAGACCCACAGACTGGTCCAGAAAGTCAATACCATCAAAGCCACCGGCATTACGGGACCCTACCAGGCCACCATCAATAATGTCGAAAGCAGCGCCAACTCGATCCGCAACATCCTGGCCCAGAATCCAGCCACTCAGCCTCTAACGGAGATCCAAGGACTTCTCGAACAAGCAACGTAAGTTAAAGCCTTTCTCAGGATGTGGAAGCAAGTGTAGATCCTTCTCATCAGGTCTCATGAGAATAATCTGTTTCTGTCTCTGAAGTGCCTTGATGGCTGAAATGAACACCAACCTTAACCTGACAGAGGAGACCTTGTCCGAGATCTCATCCGACAACAACAGCACGGACACCAAACTGAAGTCCCTCAAAGAAGCAGCTCAGAAACTGGAACAGACGGTGAAGGACCTTCAGAAGCAGGTGGAGTTTGTGAAGAATTCAGACATTCGAGGTGAGTAACATCACTCTAGATCAGGGCTGTCTAAACTCGGTCCTGGAGGGCCGGTGTCCTGCCTCGGACCGGATCTCCTATAATCGGATCCTCCTCTGTGGAAAAACACAATATACAAGCACAACAAAGCAACTTGCACTGGTTCCAAATTGGAATTTCAAAAAGACTAGCACAGAATTCATTCTATATTCTATATTCTAGTCCTATAGCAGGGGTCACCAAACTTGGTCCTGGAGGGCCGGTGTCCTGCAGAGTTAAGCTCCGCCTCCAACCCTAATCAAACACACCAGAACTAGCTAATCAATGTCTTACTAGGCATACTAGGAACTTCAAGGCAGGTGTGTTGAGGCAAGTTGGAGGTAAACTCTGCAGGACACCGGCCCTCCAGGACCGAGTTTGGACAGCCCTGCTCTAGATCTTGTAAAGCCCTTTTCATCAACAGTCCCAGACAATGCATCAATGCAACATTTTTTTCGATCCACAGGGGCCAGAGCCAGCGTGACTCGATACTATGAGCAGTCCCAGATGGCAGAGATCCGTGCGAATGCCTCCACCATTGACCCAGACAACCTGGTCAATCAGTCTGCCACCCTGCGGACAGAAACGGAGGACTTGATGAACCAGACCAAAGAAGAGTTCATTCAACGGCAGAATGAGTTTGCGAAGAAACTGGACAACCTCGCTGGACAGCTGGAGACTCTGGACCTGACTGATCTTAGCGAGAAGGTAAAGCAGTCAACAGATTGATGAATATGGTCAAGAGCTTATCTAATCACTGACATACAGTAGTTTTAATTAGCAAAGTTTAGTTTTCAGAAACAAATCAATGTCACTTTCATGTTATATTTTTGTAAAAAATCATTGGAGATCCTCAGGCTTTTGTTTCTTTTTTGTTTTTTGTTGTCACATAATATTCTAAATGTTCTATTACATATCGCAAATTGTTTGGCTCATTGAAGATAGGTGTACCGTTGCTGATTGGACTTATGTTTTTGCTTGGCGGATGATAAAACAAGTGAAAACCTAAGTAATATCAAGATACCAGAATGTCATAGAATTAGGGCAGGGCAATTTCTCACAAAAAATAAAATCTTATTTTTTCAGAACGTTTGACCAATTCTTGATTTTTTTACGATTTTTAACTAGTCAATTTAAAAATTTAACTACAACATGATTCAAGTAACCTTTTCTTTATTAACCCTCTAGTTAAAGACAAATATATTCCAAGTGTCACCATGATGCAAAAATGAAATATCAGACATACAGTAGTAGTTACAGGTTTTTTATTCGATTGATTTGATTTCCATTGCAGCGTCTCATGCATGAAACAGCAGTCTAAAAATGTGGTGCTCAAGTTAAAAGAAGTTCACTCCCATCTTCTTGCATGTTTTTCTTATTCCACTGCCCATGTCGCATCTTTGTCAACACAAAAGCACATTCTGTGTGAATGGCACCTAGCGATACGAGCGCGTCACTCGTGAGCGTTAATTATTAGGCCGACATTCGGTTGGAACTACCTAGAACCATAAATATAAATGCATAGATGCCTCATTAGTGGCTGTTTCTGTGGAAAAGTAAAGGTCGGTCCGTGAACACTCGAGAGCAAGTTGATTGTGCGTCTGCAACTGTAGTTATATGTATATATGAAAACACGAGTAATTGGCTTCCAAAGTTGGATTACATTTTTCCGAAAAGTGTCCAAACATTTTCAGAATTTTCCAAAAGTTCCAAGATGGCAGATGAATGTGGATTCTACCTATACATATCTATGCCTAGAACTCCCTATAGATATGTAAAGGTAGATGCCCTATTAGCGGCTGTTTCTGTTGGCTGCTGTACATAAGCTATCACCATATTGAAATGGCCAAAGCAGTTCTGTGAACACTCGAGAGCATGTTGACTGTACGTTTGCAACCAGAGTTATCCGCATGCAGAGCTGGGTAGTAACTGATTACATGTAATCTGGATTACGTAATCAGATTCCAAAGATTAAGTACTTGTAATTAGATTATATTGTATTTTAAAATACTCTATTCTGTCATCTGAAC